TTCTGTGATTCTGTGATTCTGTGAAAAAGGGTCTCAGGCCTTGTCTGAAATAGCCCCAGCCGCCTGGAGCTTTTCTTTTTCTTGTTCAGCTGTAACGGCAATTATCTAATGACAGGGTGATCATTACTTGCTTTGTTTTAGCTGTTCTACAATTATATGATGTAACACAGTCTTGTATGGATTTTGCAACTAATAGCTAGTTACAGTGAGAATTTCCGTGTATAAATAACTACCTGTGCTTCTGCAGTAAAATGTGTGTAGAGAACTACAAGCTTGGGATGATGGCAGGGACCTGAAGGAAGAGGCACAGGATGATGCCAGCGGCCCCAGGGCCATAAGTATCTCATCAGTGGTCAGTCACTCATCATCAAAGGACTGTGATTTGGTGGGCAGGGTAAAACCAGCCTTAAACAAAGAGACAAGGAACAAGCCTCTTGTGTATGTAAATCACACCAAGTACAAGTAAATTCAGATGTAATGTGCAGAAGGTCCATGCGTGAGTAAGGAGTGGCCCTGGTTCCCCTGCCACCTGAGTGAGTTTGGGTGAGAGGCAGATAGAGGTTCTGGGGGAACTGACCAGGGGTAAGCAGAAGGGTCCCAGTAGGTGGTGAGTGTGCTCAGAGATGGGTGAGAGAGTGTCCTGCACTGCTGAGGAGGTGGCTGTGCATGCTGGTGTGAAAGCAGTGGGGCTCTGCATGGGTGAGGAGGTGCTCATGCACAGGAGGAGGCCCAGGGGTGCTTGACTGGAAGGCAGCTGGAGAAGGTTGGGCTGGGGCTGCTGTGGGTGCAGAGGTTGCACTGAGGTGTAGTGAGGGACGCTGTGGGTGCTCGTGTGGGTGTCACAGGTAACAGAGTTTCAGTGGTGGGGTGGTGGAAAGTACTGGCAGCTATGGCGCCGGGCTCAGGGGCTTTGGGGCTCCCTCATGCTGCAAGGGTCTGCGATGGGCACATGCAAGTTCCTCCTGCTGCCACCTCTTCATCCCACAGACCAGGTCACAGGGTACCCCACTGAGGAAAGAGATGTCATGACCCCATGTCAAGCCCCATGTCACTTGGGAGGGGAAGCTGTGCCTAAAACATGGCCTGTCTTGACCTGGGAGCTGGTGGAAACATGTTGTTGATGTCTCAGTGCCTCTCATGGAGGAAGCATTGGATGGTGCACCGAACAGACATCTCACATTTAAAAATCTTGCCAAAGGTGTGAAAAAATTTATTTGACTCCTGGAACATTTTATTGCTTTGTATTTCCTGCATTTTTCAGGCAGGAAGGATCATGGAGAGCAGGACATCACTGGGATCCTCCAGTGATGGAAGTTTTTCCTTTGTCGAATCCTAGCTTTGACTTGAAGGAAAACCCCAGGACCCTAAATCCCTTGGGACAGCCTTTGTGGGAAAATCACCCACACATTGAAAGCACTAACTCCTTTGGGTTATGGAGAGTACAGTTCATCAGCAGGTGCTGAGCAAAAGGCGGCAGACCTTGCTCTGACACAAGGTGTACCAGGAAGGATGAGAACTATCCGAGATGCAAGACACCACGGCATGGTTACAAAGCAGTAGGGGACAATTCTGAAGCTCTAAATGAGAGGGCCTTGCAGCAACCAGCAGGATCAGGTTCTGGCATCCCTGCCTGGGAGGACAGGAAACTGAAACACCTCCCAAACGGGACGCAAGGGTCATGCCCAGCCAGCAAGCTGCTGGGGATCTTCATAGTGGTGGCTTAGTGTGGATGGGGCTTTGCAGGTGCTTCTCTGAACAAGTCAATGGAAGGGGAGAGCAAGTCCTGTCCTGCCAGCACAGCCCATGTTTTCCCAGAAGGCTGCTCCAGTGGGTCTGGAAAACTGACAGCCAGGGCAAAGCTGAGCTGTGCTCTTCTCCAGAAGGAGCTCTGCTGCAGGTATCTTTTGGGGCCTGGAAGGAGACCTCAGGAGACCCTCTGAACCTTCCCTCTAGCCCACAGCAGGACCTTGATCTGGATTCAGCCTCTCCAAATGCTCTGGTCCAAACCTTGACATCTGACAAGCATCTTTCCGGCGCTTTAAACTGTGACTCTCTGTACCGCTCATCCTGCTCTTTGCCTTTCACAGTGGGAGTCTGGCAGCACATCCTCCCAGATCCTCTTCTGCATGTTGAACAACACAGACAGGCCTTCCTCAACGGGCAGCTATCAGGTGAGTGCTCCTGTCCATCAGTATTCCTGAAACAATCCTGGACTGAGGGTTATGATCTCATTCTCTGAGTAACCATAACGTGGCTCAGTCCAGGCAGTTTATCACAACATGTCTGGTTGCAGTGCGTAGTTTAGAGATTTAAAGCTGTTTGTAGGAATTCACTGGTTTTTTTATCTACATCTTTTCAGATTCACTTGTGCAATGTCTCAGGCTGGTTTCACTTTTTAAGCCCATCTGTGGACATGCAGGCAAACAGATGGGTGAATGTCCTGGGAACCTTTTTTTAATCAAAGATGCAATGAATCTGGAAACCAACACTAATGGGTACCCTGGTGAAGGAGCCAGTGTCCCCCAGGATGAGCTCTCCAGGTTGGCTCTGCCTCACCTACAGGCAGCAGGAGGTTCATCTGGAGAGCTCTGCCCATGTCCACTGCACCCTGCATCCTGCAGTACACCATGGCCTCTAGAAAGTGCAAAGGGGTTTGGGCAAGTTGCCCATCATTACCTTTGATGGGGACGATGACCCGAGGAGCAGGATTTGCAGGAGAACAAAGTGAAACCAAAGCCAACAGAAGAAAAATGCCTTCAGAAACAGAAGACTCCAGATAACTTGTTTAGAAATCTTCCAGGAGAACCTGCTGCTGTGAAAGAATTACTTCTGCTCCTGCAAGGACTGTAGCTGCCCCAGGGCATGGAGCTGAGACCATATAATGGCGGCTGGGATGGCTGTGGCTGCCCCAGCCACTGATACTAAACAGCAAACTGCAAGCAGGCGAGTGGCAAGGCAAAGGGGTTTTTAATAATGAAGGTGTTGCTGGTAACATAGGTAAGGAAATGTGCTTGCTTACAGGTTTGAAGCTGGCAGCAGCCCTTTAAATAGGGAAATACATTTGCTGAGAGGAGAAAGTTATCTGGAAAGCCCTGTACAATGACGCAGTGTAGCAGCTAACACTACTCTGTTTCAAGTGCTATTAATATTCTCGGACCGGCTTTGAAAAATCTCTCACTTAGAAAAAGAAATTCTTTAAAAAAAATGCAACCTGTGATCATCTATCCTAGCAGTGCACTGTGATCATTTGTACAATAGAAAAGTGGTGCTTTAAATAGTGAGTTGAAAGCTACTGCCACGTGCTTTATACAGCATGCAACAACGCCACAAACTGGAGACAGCAGCGGCTGCAGAGCCTCCTCCAACAGCTCCAGCACCCCTGGCGGAGTGGGGGCCATGGTCAGGGTGCCCCCAGGCCCCTCACACTGGATCTCCTCCTCTGCTGCCCCATCTCCAATGTGCTGTTCTTCCAGTAACACAAATATTAAATATGTTCAGTCTGTAAATAGTTTAACAATCTCAGCAACAATATTTACTTTGGCAAAACCAGAATTGCAAAGAAGTAGACATGTCTGTCAAACAGTCTGCAGCAAGTTCTTTGGTGGAAGCCAAGAAGTGAAGCAAAGGCTTCTTCTCACTAGAGCCTGAGGAAGTATATTGCACTCACAGGAGAAATGCTGGTGACTTCAAACGGGAAGCATCACTGCAGGAGAGCATGCATCTCTGCCAGCTTCAGGAGAACTAGCTCCTCCAGGCTCAGTGATTCATAGCTGTTCTCCAGATGGCCTTGCTCTGGGCTGAGTGAACAGTGATGCTGGAGTAAACTTGGGAAGAAGGGAATGACTGCTGAGGATCAAGGAGGAGTGGGAAGAATGATGGAGGGGTGGGTGGCAGAGAAGTGGAGGCAACAAAAGCAGATGCTTGCACAAAACTGCAGCCACACAAGGACCCGCTCAGCCCTGTCCCATGTGCAGGTCACTGTGTGCCCATTTCTGGCTCCTTTTGCTCCCAGGTGGGAGAGATTCATCCTGACTTCTGGCTGTGCAAAGGACAGCCCCTATAAAATCTGGCTGTATTTTCCAGATGACTTGCTCCCACCTTGGACCAAAACACAATACACATCTCTTTGTCTGTACTACACTAGCTGGGACATGGCAGCTCCACCAGGCTGTCACATCCCTTCGATACCTGAACCTACAGCCTGAGCAGCTGTCTCTAATGTCTAGAGGTCTCTGCTCCAAGGCCAAAGGCTTCAGCCTGATTCAAATCAGACTGCAGCCAGGATGAATCCTGGGATATCAGCCCCCAAGGCACCCCAGATCACAAGAAGTTGCCACCATGTATATGGCGGTCTTCATCTCTCATCCACCTGAAGCAGAGTTGTATAGGGACTGGCCAATGCAGTTCTGGGGGCAGGAGGAAGGAAGCAAGGAGAAACTGGCTGTACAAAGTGTACTTGTTGCCCTGGTTGGGCAGAGCCTCCCTGCTCCTGTGCCCCTGGCCCGAGCATGGCCAAGATAAGCCCAGCAGGATTGCCTAAATAGCTGGATGGGCAGAAGGGCCATAGAGGAGGTGACAGCAATGGGCTCTCCTCTCCAAGATTGTTCATTGCCACCCAGGTGAGGTCTCCTCACCACACAGTTTTGCCATGACCTGCTCCAGTTCTCACAAGTGTGACTGCTAAAACTGGGGAGGTGGGGGGCAGAGGAGGAAGACAAAAGAAACATAAGAAACAAAACTGAAGTTCTTGTCAATGTAAAGAAGTGTTGTCAAAGGCACTGGTGCCCTCTGTGGGGGTGTGTCGATGGAGGAAAACCGAAGTACTAGAGCTGTTGTGCTGTTGATTTGCAGTAACTGGAAATGCAAACAAGTTTATATGCTCGGAAAATGACTCCAGTTTCCCCTGGATGTAGCACATTAGCCCTGCGTGTTCTCTGGCATGACAGAAACGCTGTGCTGGTTGCTGTGAGCTTACAGTATCCTGCCGCCACCACCCTGCGTTTCACCACTGTTGCAGGTGCAGGTCCATGCTGGTGTTTAAATTGAGATCGGTAACATCTAGGAAATCAATGTTGAAGATGCTGGGACCTGCAGGAGTGAGTGAACCAAAGCCGGTGGCAGAGCTGGGGGGTGTGAGGTCCAGCCACTCCATTGTTTCCCACGGAGACTCAGTGAAACTCATTTGTAAACCGGAGCCATCGGCAGGGGAAGGGGAGAGGTGGGTTTCCATGGGTGAGAGTGGAGTCTGTAAAATCTCCTGGGAGGTGAGCAGTTCATCTGTGGCTTTGCTAGAAAAGCCCTCCATCATCCCTTCGAAGTGAGGCTCTTCTCCCCCCATCTTCAGCAGGGTGATTTCACTCACCCTCCCCAGGGGGCTGTGGGCATTCAGCATTGCAGGACCTCAAGGTGAGCATCACTGCTGCCTGGACAGTGCTCAAAGGAGAGCTGGGCTGAGGAGACCTGTTCGAACGCAGCAGATGACTTTGGGAGAGTAGCGCTTGAGCTCCCTGCAGACACTGTTATCTGAGGTACTTTCTGGAGGCAGGACCGATCTTCCTTGGCATTGGCTGGCATTTCTGTCAACAAATGAGAGGGGTTTGAGGTGCTCTGGCAGTTCCTACTGCTGCTGGCCACAGTTACCACCACAGCCCCCCAGTTGGGCTCTTGGGCATACCTGCAGAGACCCACTGCCCACTCAGTCCCCTTGGTATTGCTGGC